ATTGACCCAGAACGTACAACTGCCATTCAAAAGTTTCCCGAACCCAAAAATGTAAGACAAGTAAGGCAATTTACAGGCATGTGTTCTTATTGGGCTAAATATATCCCTAACTATGCCGATATATGTGCACCTTTACACAGTTTGAAACAGAAAGGAAATAAATTCATTTGGTCCCAAAAGTGTAAAATTGCCTTTGATACGTTGAGGGAGAAAATTTCAAACCCCCCAATTTTGCAGTTAGCTGATTTTTCAAAACCATTTGTTTTACAAACGGATGCATCGCAAATAGCGGCAGGAGGAGTTTTATTGCAAGAAAACGAAAATCAAGATCTACTACCAATTGCCTACTATTCCAAAAAGTTCAATGATAACGAGCTCAAATACAGTGTGTATGAGAAAGAAGCCTACAGTGTCATATTATGCATCGAAAAATGGCATGAATTTTTGGAAGTACAGCCCTTTAAATTGATAACGGATAATCAAGCTCTCAGCTACGTTCTAAACACTCGCAGGAAACTGGGAAGATTATCAAGGTGGGTAGAACGCCTGTTAAACCTCCCATTCACTGTCGAACATAAAAAGGGAAGTGAAAATATCTTAGCGGATACTTTATCCAGACTTTTTGATGAAGAAGACATCAATCATGACGAAGACATCACAACAGAAGTGGACTCTACGTTGAAGATTATAAATAAATCTGTAAATATTGTTAGGGAAGAAATGAGGAACAAGAAGAGAAATGTAAATAAAATAAATCATGTAAATAGTAGTAATAAGAAAATGATTAGAAACAAACGAGAAGATAGACATTTTTGTAATCTAATTCAAGAGATACCTATGGCATTAAATGACTTGAAATATCACCAGGGAAATGACCGAAAATGTACAGAGATAATTAAAAGCGTACAAAATAATACAAATCAAGAGTGTTACTACCTGAAAAATGACGTTTTGATGTACAAAAATCAATCTGGAAAAAGTAAAATTTATCTACCAGATAACTTAATAAATTTGGTTTTTACATTTTACCACAACACAATGATCGGAGGTCATTTGGGAATCTCTAGGACCCAAGGTAAAATAAATGAATATTTTTACAATCCAATTTTAAATGAAACTGTGAAACAGAAGATAAAACAATGTAAAATATGTGCTATGTCGAAGACCACGCAAAGGAAATACGAGGGTAAACTAATTTCAATTCCAGTTGAACAAACCATGAATACAGTTTTTATTGATATTCTAGGACCATTGCCAAGATCAAAGGGGCAAAATAAATATATTCTAGTGATCGTCGATGCATTCACTAGATATTTATGGCTTCACGCTCTTAAGGACTGTAATTCAAGATTGATAATCGCAAAACTTCAGCAAACCTTTGTGAATTTTTCAACTCCGAGGATATTAGTGTCTGATAACGCTTCATATTTCATATCCAAGGAATTCAAGGCCTATTTGTTTAAACATTTCATTGAGCACCGTCGTATAGCGATATATCGTGCAAATGGAAATCGAGCTGAGAGATTTATCAGAGATGTGTCTACACTATTGCGATGTTTTTACCACAACAATCAATCTAATTGGGATGACAATTTAGGTTTGGTCCAACTTAGTTTAAACACAGCTGTAAATTCGTCTACAGGTCAAACAGCCTTCCAAATGATGTTTTATCATGAATGTAATAACGCACTATCAAATGTTTGGAATATACAGGATTTGATTTCAACAAAGCTAACTGAAGATGAGAAGAAAGAAAATCTAACCAAAGCTATAAACAACATCAAGAGAAGCATTAAGAAAAATCAAGAACGTGCGAAATACAGGAATCCAAGATCGCCATTCGCTGTCAATTCTATTGTTTATGTCCGCACTCACTATTTGAGCAACAAAGTGAAAAACTTTTCTAAGAAGCTTGCTATCAAATATTCTGGACCATATAGGATATTGTATTTCATCACGGACGTAACAGTTTTGATACAGAACGTGAATAATTATCAAGACGTGAAGAAAGTACACATTGTGGACCTCAAACTAGCAGAAGACAAATGAATGTGATTCAAACCCGATGCTTACTCCGGACTGAGAGGACTGAAACTACTTCAGAAGATTGTATTACTTTTTTAGAGTAATATCAGGAAATGTATATTTTTATTAAGGAGATATACAGAAGGAAAAGCGAATTATTTTAGCAAACAATGGCGAAAGAAAACCAAAATTTCAATAATTAAATAAAATTAAATGTTAGTAAATATAGCGCATTCATTTAAAATAGTGAATCAGGATGAATGAATGTGTGAGTAAATGTATAGTTCAAATGTGAGTGTAAATGTGAGCAAATGGATTGATCAAATGGGTGAGAATGTGTGTGAAAGTTTTGACTAAAATTAGTAAATAAGGATACGTGACTCTGAACACTTGACACTAACTGTTACTTATACACTTATACGACAGGCCATACAAAACACACACTTTAACGCGCACTAAATATACTAAACTTATAACAAAAACACGACACATCACACTAAAACGCACGCACTTCAACTACTTTCAAACTAATGTGAGCAAACAGGATTTTAAATGAATGCAGTTGAAAGTAGTTTTATCTTATCTTTGGTATTCGTGATCATTATCATTCTTCCTTTTGGGCATAGTTTGCTAAATAATCCGTCTTGTTTTAAAAAGGGATATAGGAAAGTTTTGTTTGAATCAAATAAATGAATTTGTATTTATTTATATGTAGTTTTAAAATGGTAATTGATGAAATTACAAAGAAAAATGTTTAGTTAAAAGAAATGTTTTAAGTCAATTTTAATTTGGTTTCATGTAACAAAAAAAAGCAACAAAAATGAAGGCCTGCGCATTCTAGTGACAAACTATTTGCACTACATTAGGTTATCTGAACTAACCGGATATTGTATTCAGCCGAGCTATTCTATTATTCCATTATTGTGTATTTCATAGTATTGAATTTTGCAAATATTATTGTTGTTTGTTCAAGGGAAAAAAATTGAACTAAATTTACTATGATTTTTTTATTTTGAAGTGGCGGAAAATATATACTGATTCTTATATTGTTTGTTTAAAAAAAAATCCAGCAAATTTAGTTATAGTATGTAAGAAGCATAATTGATTTATTTGAATTGTTTGTAGTGGTAACATTGTTTCTTTTTTCATTTCCCTCACTAAGTTTGATTTCATTCATAATTCTGTATCTCATGGCAGGCAAATCTCGTAGACATTGTAAGTACAAAATATTATTATCCATTATAATCTAGGAAAGTAAAATCTGAAATTAAAATTTGTATTAAAAATACTATTGAACATGGATATGGGAAAATAATATTCACTGTTGGTTAACCTCAAATTCTAGAATATGTTAAATTAGGTTATAAGTATGTTAACTTGCAAAAAGCACATTGTACGAAAGAAAATGGTAATTGAAATTTATATTTAGAATAGTTATATTAGTAATATTTATGCATTTGTATATTTTTTTTACAGACGAGTTCCTGTATTAAAATAGAGCTCTGCGGAAGGTCATCTTAAAGTAAGACTGTTTCAATTAAATAATTATTTAGGACTGAGATACAGAGGTATAATTTAAGTAAATCAAAAGTATATACTTGTTATGATTTCATTCATTTTATTAATAAAATTTCAGTGATGTACACGGAAATGAAATGGCTTCTTTTTAACTTAGGCTACATCCTATTGAAGTTATATAGTTCTGTAGTATAAATCATTACATTTATACTTTTATTGGACCTTACGAGTATAAAATTTAGATTTGTCCTTTTCGTTTTTTAAATACAAAAGGGCAAATCAATCACTTTTTTTCCAATCAACGTATTATTGTAAAATAAATTAAAAGGTTAAGACAGAAATGGGAATTATAAGTTTCCCGTTTCTCCCCGTCTCTCTGGGGAATCTGCCGTGGCAGTTTCAGTGTTTCTAGCCCTCTCTAAAACACCCTTATAATCCTCACTAATTGCCGTGGCAGTTTCGGTATGGAGCATGATCTTTGGTGTTTATTTATTCTATGGTAAAACGTCGTGGCAGTTTCGGTGTCCCCAAACCAACACATAGCTACTATTACCAAATCCAGGGACAGCTGAACCTGTGTCAAAGGGAATGGTGTGACTTCATTATATACACAAAAAAGGGAGAACTTTTTACCGAGCGGATCAAAAAAGATGACTTTCTGTGGCAGACGAAAATGCTACCTAAATTAATCCAATTTTACAAAGAATGCATCTTGCCAGAAATCGTCGACAGCAGAGTGATTAGAGGGATGAAGATAAGGGACCCCAAGTACATAACTGACGCCCAGGAACTCGTGAAGGCGAGAAAACTCGCAGCAATTTCCAAGAAAGTTCAAATTAATTCGGTAGCTGATGTGTGAAAATAATACCAATTACATTTTGTAATGCCCAAATATTATAATTAGGCCTAACAATATTTTATCCTATTCATATTGCAATTTTTTAAATATCACCGCTCATTATCTGGACCAAAAATTATCTTATATTAAAATCAATGTACATAATTAATAAATTTGTTTTCATCTCTTTAGTAATTAACATTATACATTTCCCTTTTATTTACCCGGCTCTACTGGGCTTCCCCCAAGTTTATTTTATTTTGCAATTTTTAATTGTTACTCAACTTTGACATTTCAGTTTAGTACAGATTTTATTGTATTTTATTTTAGTAAATGACTTGTACAATACAATCTTACTAATATTATAAATGTGAAAGTTTGTGTGTTTGAAGGTCAATCACGCATAAACCACTGGATGGATTGGGCTGACAAGGCTAATAAGGACATGACACTATTCCATTGTATGATTACTCATGTGCACATTATGAATAAAGATTGATTTGATTTGATTTGATTATTATTCTATATTTGAAATACATTCATAAAATAGGACCGTGCACAATTTAATTTTTGTTTGAAATCACAAGGGTTCCCCCAATAAACTAATATTAATACTTACAAGTCAAGAGGATAGAAGAACAAGACCAAATATTGACCTCTAAAATCACTAAGATCTATTTCCTTGAAGTCTCCAGCGATGACAGCAGTTCCCTTGAAGGGAGGGGCTGGGTGTTGAACCTTAAGTGTGGAGCCATGTAGTCCTATAACCATACAGAATATGCATTATACACCCACCACCTAAAAATACTACAGGGTGCGGCAAAATAACCTCCTGATTTTTGTTGCGTTGTGGTGAGTAGTGGGAGACACTTAGAGTGGTGGGGATGGCGGCCGTCGACGCAGGGGAGAGGGAAGTTTATGTGGCATTCATTCGGCACGTAGACACCAGTCGCCATCATGGCGTGGACGAGTGAACACAAAGCCTTTGCGGTTGAAGCGTTCATTCGCAACAATGAGTTGGTTATCGCGGCACAGCGTGCTTTTTGAACGCGATATCAAATTCCTCCTCGTGGATCTGTACCGGACAGAAAGACTATTCTGTTGTGGGTAAAAAACTTCAGGGAGACTGGTTCAGTTGTGAAAAAACGGGGTGGAAGACATCGTAGTGCGCATACACCTGAAAACATCAATGCTGTCAGGCAGTCAGTGTTGCAGTCCCCTCAAAGATCAGCTCGCAAACACGCAGCCGCCCTTCGGATGTCTGACCATAGTGTTCGTCAAATCCTTCACATGGACCTCCATTTTCATCCTCATAAGATGGTTGTTGTGCAAGAACTGTCTCAACGTTATTGGCAGGATCGCACGGAAGCTTGTCAAAACATCTTGCAACGACTTCCACCAGACACCATTGTTTTTTTCAGTGATGAGGCACATTTTCATTTGTCTGGCAACGTTAATAAACAAAATTGTCGTTATTGGAGTCAAAACAATCCCAATGAAATCCACGAGAGACCACTTCACAGCGAGCGTGTAACTGTGTGGTGCGCTATTTCACGACTTGAAATCATCGGTCCATATTTCTTCGAAGAAGAAGGCGTTGCAGTGACTGTAAACTCACACAGGTATACTAACATGATTCAGAATTTTTTTTAACCAGCATTGCAAGAGAGGGATTTTGAACATGTATGGTTTCAGCAGGATGGTGCCACATCTCATACTGCTCGGTTAGCAATGGTCGTTTTGCGGCAGATGTTTCCTGGCAAATTAATTTCTCGGGGAGGGGACATCACGTAGCCAGCACGATCCCCAGATCTCACTCCATGTGATTTTTTTTTTTTTTGGGGGGGTTACTTGAAGGCCGAGGTGTTCAAACGTCGCCCCAGGAATCTGCCAGACCTGAAAGAGGCAATACGCCAGGAAATTCTGCGAATACCTCAAGCCATGCTCGAGAGAGTCCACGACAGCTTCAGAGTTTCGTCTGCAGCAGTGTATCAACAGCCATGGTCACCATTTAACAGACATTCTTTTTAAAACTAAGTAAAAGTAAACTTCCCTTATTAGAGAATAAGTAAAAAAAATAAAAACTGTTTTACAGTATCTTGAAAACCTGTTTTTTTTATTTACGTTTAAAAATAGGGAGGTTATTTTGCCGCACCCATTATTAGGGTATAGCCATGACTATTATTACTTTGGTAATCTTCTGCTTCTGTCATAGTTCCCAATTAAAAATATACATAGGTTAGTTTAATATAGTCAAAGTAATATGAAGTCATCAAAGATCTCACAGCAAGTGATCATCAGTACATAGTTTTTTGGGTTGACGGAATTTTACCACTAGAGCAGAACTGACGTCACTATGACGTAATAACCTTTAGCTCTCTCAAGTTTGTTCACGGGCGGAATTATACCTCCTTGATACAACTATTTTTTATCTGGGACGAAAGTAAAGGTAAATAAACCACTATTTATATTTGTCTTACCAGTTCAGAAGCCACAACAATGAGCTAATTGAAATAGAAAGAGAGTAAAAATTAGATTAGCAATGAAAGCCGGAATTTTAACCCGTGCCCATACAACTAAGGAAAACTGTAGATGTACGACCCAGAATTTTAACTGTTTTTCTAAACTTTATGTTTTGTAAACATTCGTGAATTAGAAATCGTGCTGAGTTAATTTGCGTGCTTTTATTAATCTATATAAATTAAATTAGAGTTTTGTTTGTACATTGCTCAGAATTATATATTTTTTTTTTATTTTTTAGTTTTATACATTAAAGAGGCCAAAAACAAGTCTTATCTTTAATTTCTGTCTGTCTATCTGTCTAACTGTCACAGCGCAGTAAGCATTTTACGTGGCCTTCTCCTGAAAAACGAAAGTATCGATCGGGATTAGAAATTTATGGAGGAACAAGTAAATTCAATTTAAACAAAGTTTTACAATTACAAAAAGAAGCCATTAGGTGTATCCTTAATCTCGATATAAACGAATCCTGTAAAAATCATTTTAAAGTATTAGAGTTCTTTACTGTTTACAGTCTCTATATTTATAAGACGATAATGTATGTTAAAAAACATGAATCAGAACTTCAAAGACAGAAAAAGGTGTAACGTAAAAAGCTCACACAGTGGAACACTAATAGCACCATTCGCAATGACCCCACCAATGAGACTGAAGCAACATGGCTGTGTTTTGTTTTTTACAATCATGATGGAAAATGTCCGCAATAAACCGAATAACAGATGATTAGTATTTCATAAATGACGTACCGTATGTGGTAAACATTGGGAAAAAACTTGACAAAATCAAACAAATTTGGGTTTTTGAACATCAGTTATTTTATTTCAAAAGTAGTGAGGCCATATTTTAATGGCAAAAGATACTCTCGCCAATCCAGTGAATACAAAAATACTATTTGAATCCCTATCGATGCTCTCGTTTTTCAGGAGAAGGGCACGTAAAATGACTTCTGGGCCATGACAGACAGACAGAAATTGAGATAAGACTTGTTTCGGCTCTTTAATGTATAAAACGTAAAAATACCCAAAAAAATATTTGATTTTTAGCAATGTACAGACAAAACTCAAATTGTATTTAGGCTATATAGATTGCATTTTTATTTACTGTTTCAATACTAGACTATCCAGGGTTTTATTTTTGTTGGGATGTTTGAAATAGACTAGGCCTACTATAATTAAATTTATTATAAGATAAATTGTTAGTTATTGTGATTTATTGAAGATTGTGGTAAAGAGAAACATTGTTAGTTTGAATACCATAATTCACCCAATAAATTAATAACATTTATTTAAATTACGCTTTACTTTCAGTAGCCTACAATGGCAAGTAAGTCTTCATTAGACTAAAACATTAACTTTAACGCAAACACAATTAAAAATAACATGAAACAAACCGATGAAGGGAAATATAATAAGGTGATTTATCCTTTAATAGAGATGAGTAAAGCTAATAATTGAGCGAAGCGAGCAAAGCTCACTTTCCCTCACTTTGTAACTTCTTTGTAAGGGCATCAGAATGTAATGGCTTGACCAATTGATATGAAATTTGGCCAACAGCTAAAGAATACTGAGCACAATGTTTTGTAAAAAATATTTGCAAATTTCCTTCTGGATTTTATTTTACGGGTCACGCAATTTCTTTTTTTTTGTTATTTTAATGTAAGTTGAAAGAAAAATTATATTGGGTTTATGACATATGGGTTTATCTAGTTTCATTTAAATAATAAGGTAAACATATGTTAATTGTTTGTAACTGTTTTGTTTACATTTCAATGTTTACTTTCATCATAGGTTAAAGTTGGAATGTAACAGTTTATCAATGGAAGTAACAGTTTAGCTATATTTGTTTTGAGCATGCCTCAATCAGGCCACGTCTTAATATTGGTCGTCGCACCGATAATGCAAATATTGTAAGAGAGTGGTGTCGTGAACAAGAAGAACCAGATGAAGCAGTGGCGGAAGAAGCTGATAATGATAGGCAGTTAACTAATCAATTCCAACATGAATTAGATGCATAAACAATTTTACACTTGCACTAACTGTCATCGCCAACAACTAACAGCTTCAAACCAATCACCGATTTGTTCGCGTTGTCGTTCAAATGCAACTAAATTCACGGCGTTAAATAATATGGATGTGTCAAGTGTCCTGAACGAATTAACTGACCTGACGATTGTAGAACAAATGTTGATTGCACGAGTACATCCTGCTATGCCCATTTACAAAGTACAAGCAAATGGTCAGGATGGCCAGTTTCACTACAAAGGTACAGAATGAACTATCAGATAAATTTATCATTCTTTAGAATTTAAATAATATCGGGCAAACAAACTGGTGAAAGGGAACATATTGTAGGTTGTTAGCTGCTTTAGCCATTGACAATCTTTAAATAATGCTTCGCTCATTTATGCGTCTAAAGTGTAACGGCAGACCACCCTAGTTTATAATATGGGTATACTTGTAATGAGGTATAGCCTAAAACAAGCCTCCATAATTAATTTTACTAGAGGTCGTCCAGTGGTCGAAACTCGACCAAAAAAATTTAATGTACAGACTTCTTTATTTTCATTCCACACTTTGAATAGAACATGTGATTGGAGTTTCTTCCATTTGAGAAAAAAGGTTTTAAAGAAACATGCTTGCCTATTAATATATAGATAGATTACAAATACTTAAACAAGGCACTTTTACTTTGCAATCACTAAGACATATAACCTCAATCTCAACCTCAGATCCGGTTTACCTCAGTTTCTCGATATTTATAGCAGATAAGATTAGCTGAGAAAAGGATCCAGAATGTGGAGCGAGAGGTTAAACTCCCTTGCTCCACTCTGCACTGTGATTGGTTCAAAATGACGTCATCTGTATATCGTGCAGTGTTGCCGCTTTCATTTCCAAACGAGTCATTCAACTAGTGACTACCAACTCACTTCTCAACTGTTGGGTTTCAAAAATACTAAATTCTGCTGTTGGTCGATTTGAGTGTTGACACTTGACTCAACAGTCAACGATTTCAAAAACAGGGCCCTATATGTGTGTTTTGTGAAATGTTATTAGCTGAGGATAAAATGAACCAATCTACCAAATTTGATCGAAATATACCCTACCATCATATCCTCATATAACCTACTACAACAGTTTACCTTTCTCTATAATAATAACATGGAATTTTAAATTTTAATTTTATACTGAACTGTAGGCCAACAAAAATAGGCCTTCAAAGTGCTAGGCTAAATGTTTAATTTTTTTAGCACTATAAAATGGTTTAAAAATAAATTGGGAAATTCTATGTTTTGAGGATCAAAAATTAGAAAAACAAATTTTAACCCCATAAATAGTCTGATGATAATTTGATCTAAGTTAGTTCTCAAACTCGTTTGATTAAAGGTAGGTTTACACGTTTGTACCAAATTTCATCAAAATCGGAGCTCGAGTTATTTTGCTAACAGACACACATAGGCCTACATATTTTTTATATGAATTTGAACACAGGGTATAGCGTTTTTGGCCTCTGGAGACCTCAGTACAATAATTAAATCAATCCCAGGTCTGCGTCTTACCACGAGACCTACGGCAATAGCTTATTGCCTATATGGAAAATTTCCTAACATGTATCACTTTACTGTTATATTCATTTTAGGTACCTACCTAACATAAAGTTTGATACTTACCTCTCATAAAACCAGCCAATGGAACTGGAGTTTGAACTACCGGTATTGGTATTTTTAAAGCACAAACAGAATTAGATGTTTCATGTGTGAATACACTAATATTGCTCCGTAGCTGAAATAAAAAATAATTACTGCATGATTAAAATCCATATTCATTCAATCCCTTAGGTTCTCTAAATTAAAATTTTATTTTTTAGCATTGAGATAACATTATCAATGGAACATCCAAAATAAGTTAATGTAAATTACATTTCAAACAACATTTTAAAACCAGTGTAGGCCTAAGCCCTTAAAAGTTAAACATAGAAAGAGATTTCATTTATAGTTGCCAAATTTGTGAGCAATTTTGGACTGTTAAAACTGGCTTAAAACTTCTACCAGTTTTGCAAAAACTAAATGTCTAAATGTAAAAACTAAAAGCATAACAGCTGCCATAGATTTCATTAAATCCATCGTTGATAGTTAAGAAAGTAAATCTACAGTCGTAGGGTTGTTTATGGACCTTAGTAAAGCTTTCGATTCCATTTCACATACCTACAGTAGACTCCCCAGGGTGTTCACAAAAAATGTGTCATTAATTTCCATGACTTTCCATGACTTTCCATGACTATCCATGACCATTTACCATTGATTTCCATGACTCACAAACTTTACCAGCAAATTATAATATAACATACACACACAAATAATACTGCCTGGACATGTTATTTTGCAGAAAATACTGAAATATGTAATAGCAGTTAACAATGGAGTACAATAGGTACAACAATGAACTAAAACAAACCGAAAACTCATAAAATAATACAACTATAATAAATTGAATTGTCGAACATTTGTGAAAAATCCTGAAAAATGCTACAACAGTCCGGGTTACGGCTGACTAGAGCATTGAATGGTCCCCTCAAATCCATCCATAATTGAAAATTTCCATGACTTCTTGCCTATTTCCCTGACTTTCAATGACCAAAATTTTTTTCCATGACTTTCCATGACTATCCCTGACTTTCCAGAATGTGGACACCCTGCTCCCTCTTATCCGGACTCCTCGGGACCAAGGCCAGTCCGGATAACGGTTTTCCCGGTTAAGCCGACGTCCCCAAAAATGGACCGTTTACGGTGATATTCGACTTAAATTTAGGAGAGCATTGTATTTAGACATGTGATCACTGGTCTCAAATCTTTCCCACGAGAACAGTCGTTACAGTACCACCCACTTCCTGCCGATCTAGTCCGGTTCTGACCAATGTTCTGATAAAAATTGTCCGGTTAAAGAGATGTCATTTCTGTCGAGTGTAGTCCGGTTAAACCGATGTCCGGTTAAAAGGTGTCCGGATAAGAGGGAGTCTACTATAGTTGTTACTTTCAAAGCTCAGTAAAGTGGACTAAATAGTACTGCATTGAACTGGTTCAAGTCAAATCTTTTTGATAGAAAACAATACGTAGAATTGATTCACTGTAATAATAAAATTATAAAATTGCTTAGGTACAATTTTTGTACTCGGGAAGTAAAACATGGGGTGCCCCAAGGATCTATACTAGGCCCTCTTTTATTCATCTTTTATTTGAGAAATTCTCTGCAACCCAATGATTAAGAAAATTTGAAATGGGACCTTATTGATCACTTTCCAAAATTTCATCTGGCCTATATGCACTAACAAGATTAAAACCCCTATGGGAAAAGGTAACTTTAAAAATAATATATTTTTCATACATACATTCAATCATATCATTTCGAGATTCACTTTATGGTGCAGCAAAAAAGAAAAATTAAAATCAATTCTAAAAATGCAAAAGAAAGCTATTAGAATGTTATGCAATTTAAAACGCAGAACTTCAGTCAAAGAATTATTTTAAAACTGAGAATATTACAATACAATACAATACACAATACAAATCATCTTTATTCATCAAGTATTTTATAGCAAATACATGAATTGCGTCACAGAAAGGAAAAGATAAGCAAAAAATTAGGTATACAAGTATCCTAAATAATAGATTACAAACATAAATCATAACATAACATATTTCTAATCATTTAAATTCCAAAACTCTTCTATTGAATATAATGATTTAGATTGCAAATAGTTTTTCAGTAGTTTTTTAAAGCTACTGTAATTATGTTCATTGAAAATATTTTTGGGTAGGCTAAATAAAAGTTTTTTGCCAATGAAACTGGTTTTTTTCTCAAATAACTTCAATCTGTGTTGTTCTACATGCCTGGTGTTTCGTAAATTGTAACTGTGGAAATTTTTAGTTTGATAATCTGAACTTTTTACATGTAGAATAGTTTCAAAAATGTATAAATCATAGACGGTCATTATACCCAATTTAGAAAAATATTTTTTAACTGATTCTCTGTTTTTTATACTAAAGATAATTCTAAGAGCTTTTTCCTGTTGACGTAGAATTTTGTCTAGGTTTTTTTTTGTGGTACCACCATATAAAGCTATTCCATAAGCTATATGTGAATTTATCAAAGCAAAATAAATAGTTTTAAGAGTTTCAATGCTTGAGACACGGGACATTTGTCGCAAAGCATAAATACCAGCTGTAGATTTTTTTACCACATGTTTCACATGCTCATCCCAGGTTAAATGCTGGTCTAATATTAGACCAAGAAATTTAGTGTGCTCCACTTGATTTAATTTTGAACCATTAAGATATATATCTGGTTGTAATTTTAATCTTGATTGCCTTGTGGAGAAAGATAAAATATTAGATTTATTTGAATTTATTAGTAGATTTTTGTTATTTGTGAATTCATTTACTGACAATAAATTTAAAAAAGACTTTAGTTCCACTTCTTCTTGAGATTTACCTGTAATTGTTATGTTTGTATCATCTGCATACAGACATACAGATCCTCCAGCATTTACAACTCCTGGAAACCCCCTTATGTAGCAAAGAAACAACAAGGGACCCAGTATAGATCCCTGTGGGACACCATACTTTACTGTTTTAAAGTTGGACAAGACATTTCGGGTGTATGCATATTTGCAATTTGGATAGTATGAGGTATGTCGAATTTGAACACATTGTTTCCGATTGTTTAAATATGATCTGAACCAATTATATTCTTTATTATTTATGTTTAGGCCATGAAGAATTTCAAGTAATTTATCATGTGAGACACTATCAAAAGCTTTAGAAAAATCCAAAAATATTCCAACAACTTTTTCATTGTTGTTAATTGAGTTGATAACTGATTCAATGAAGTTAATGCAATGAAGTTTATTATGACTGTTTAAAACTGTTAATACTGTTCTATGAAATGGCGACCATACAAAGTAGGTAGCCTATTTTAAGCCAAAGGAATGTATGTCTATGAAACAGTATTATTAGTAAAGAACAGATTTAATTAACTACAACTCATTGGAGACTATCACAATTACTTTACTAGAAATCAAAAAAACCTTGCCACAAGCTCGCATACCCTGCAACTTTTCACAAAGACACCTAAATATGCTGTGGTTCCAAATTTTATTAAGCTCCTAAAAAAATCAAATTTGAACCTTCAAAAAATAAATTTAAATTTAAATTTAAAAAATTTCTTATCAACAACGCTATAGCCTACATGCCTACTCCTTCGAAGAGTTTTAGTTCTTTGTTACTTTATTTTATATCTAGGCCTAAATTGAAACTTTTGATTTACCCCGCCGCAGCAAACCTGCCGACTAAGCGAATTTCCAGTTGTCTGAAATGATTTTCAATTAAATGTATTTAATTAACATTAGGTTTTATGAGTACATAGGCTTGCTGCTACAGGGAGGGTAAAAAAGTGTGTTTTTTAGTAAAATATTAACAACTTAGTACAAAATGAATAAATTTACCAAGTTTCATCAAAATATTCCATAAACAAGAAAACTACAACATTTTACAATATTCCACATAAGAATAACATGAGAATTTAAAAATAACAATTTTTTGAATTTTCTCCGTAACCAATTATTGTACAAAAAAACTGTGATATACTAGGCCTATATTATTTGTTTATTTAAGCTCTTCAAAAAGGTCTGAGGAGAAATTGGGAAATTTTGTGTTTAGAGGGTCAAAAATTAGAAAAACCAATTTTTACCCTATAAAACCCCCTGTAAAACCCCGTTCCCATGGTCCGATCATGCTCAAACCAAATTTCATCAACATCGGACAAAAATTACTCAAGTTATCGTGTTCATGGACACATATATATATATAAATCTATATATATATATAAATTTGAACGAATGGTATTTTTGGCCTCTGGGGACATGAAAATGAAAAAGTAAATCGGTCCCAGGCCTAGGTCTTACCATGCCACCTACGGTAATAGCTACTTCCCTATAGGGAAATTCGCTATAAAGAAATCATCGATAAAAATGAATGTTTCCTCTAACAGGAGAGTACGTAGGTGAGTAACCGTTTCATTTTATAATCAGTTGGTAGTTAAGTTAGTGTAAATGTGGGGCGTAAACTTAAGTGTACGCCTACCCGTTTGAACTCCCTTGCCTAGGCATCACTTTTACTGCTATCATTACAAGGGTTATAAACTTACTTGTTTGAACCTGGCAATAACTCAGCAATAAGAAGTGATCGCGCCTTATAAAATCTATTGCTGGCCGTTTTGCGGGAAAATACAGCCCCGTAGCATATAACCGATAATGTCACCAGATAGAGGACAAGACAGTGTCAATATTATGTACCTGCGGGGTACAGTTGTCGCAGCTAGCCTGGGGGCGCGGACCCTTGTGTACTAACCGTCCCCCGCGCCAAAGCCATGAAGACAGCGCTGAGGCACTGAACAACCCCAGAGAGCCGTGTGGGCCAGATGTTTTTGGAAATGAGCAATAAACACTCCCCTCTACACCCCGCACCATAGCGCGGCCGCGCGCCCAGACTAGCTGCGACTACTGTAAGTTAGGGGGGTAAAGTCAGCAAAAAGTAGTGTGCGCGCCCGAAAAAATCATAAATTATATGGTACGCAGCCGTATTTTCCGCAAAACAGCCAGCAATAGATTTTTTTGGGCGCGCACACTACTTTTTGTTGACTTAACCCCCCTAACTTACCCCCCAGATACATAATATTGATACTGTCGTGTCCTTTAAAGTGTCCTCGATCTGGTGACATTATCGGTA